CACTGTTGGTGTGACTGGTTCGTAACATTCGGTGATTAACTCTGTTCTCGGTGAAGTGGAAGATGTCGTGGTAGCTTCAAGTTCTATTGCAAGAGTTTCAGTATGAAAAGTTATCGTGGCCACTGAAGATACAGTTGTGACTGTTGTTGTCGAAGACAGACATGGTACGGCTCCAAATTGAAGACCTTCAGCTTCTGATACCCTTTGTTGTTCTACATTCGACGAGTCTGCAATGCGTTATCAAATATTTTACTTATCTGAATTACCACACGTCCAGGATGTGATCATAACCAACCTGTAACAACATAATCGTAATAAGTGCTGAGTGGCTTCATAAATGCAACGTCTGCAGGCTGCATTTTGTGTGTGCATTGAAGAGGAAAGCAAAGTAGAATTACTCCATTTTCACGAGCTAAATCAATCACTTCCAAATTTCGAGTGTTACATGACCATTCAGAAGTAGTAATACGTGGTTAGTAGGACTAGCTCCGGAAAATCTGATGAAGTTTTTGAACCAAGTCAAAAATATTTCTGAAGTTATCCAGCCTCGAGGATTGCAAACTGCTGTAGCAACTGGTGGAGGATGATCTAAATTCCGAATTTCTAATTTGTATAAGTAAAAGCCCCTAATTAACTTTTCGACGGACAAAATCGACTTTTTAAAAATTTATTAATATTAATTACAAGAAAAAAACTTATTTAGACTACAAGAAGTTACAAACAAGATTAAACTTGAACTGTGTGAAAAAATGGTTTTTTATATCCTAGTTGCTTGCACAGCAAAATGCGCCACGGCGATGATTTGATGATGCATGTAATACCTATGTAATAGCAGGTGTGCAATAGGTATACCGTGAGATAATTCCCTATTTTTGACACTACAATTCAAATTAATCTAGCGACGTTTTGTTTTGTATTGAAAACTTTAATTGGTTCATTAACTAATGTGTTTTAATTATCATACTTTAATAATCGTTAATTAAATGACAAATATATTTATTTAAAATCAGCTACTTGATGCAGGTATTATTGACAGGGTGAAATGAGGTCAGGGCCAACTATTTAGATACCATACATCCTTTTATTGATAGTTCTATTGCGCATGCGCTTAAGTTTAATGTAAAGAAATTGAAATTAAACAAATTAATAAATACGGATTGTTGGTAAATATTATAATGAAAAAAAGAAAATATAATAATCAAATCAGTATCAGTTAAAAAAAGCAGTCTAGGCGTATTTTCTTTTTCTGCTTTTTGTTTTTTGCGTCTTTCTGAGCTTTTTTTTATTAATAAACAACAATATTTTGCTCAGACAATTTTTTGTTTATTATTAAATTACATGAGATAATACGTAAACAAATCGCTTTGCATGTTAAGGAGGTTAAATTACTTAAAATTGTAGGGTGTCGCTAGTTGACACATGTTCATTTTCATGTACCTACCATTGACACCCGCTATTTTAAATTAAAATTAAAATTTATCAGTTAAAAATAATGGCCCTGAGATTTTTTTAAAGTGTAGATAACCCCAAATAATTTTGCATGATAGGCTTGTATCAGAATTGTATGGAAAAATTCCCTTTTCAAAATATGCTCTCTCTTATCAGAATCATTAAGAAATGTTAAATAAACTAGCTACTGTTCGTTTCAAGAAGTTGGAGATATGCCCCTTCCCTTTATTAGGATGCACCGTAGCATAATTCCAAATTCAGTCATATTTGTCTGCGTAGCTCATTCCTTCACCGATCATAGAGCGAGAACTAGACAAAAGTGTACATACAGTACCATTATTTAAACTGCCTCGTTAATATTTAAGAATATGTTTTATTTAAAAGCATATTTAGCCAAAAATAATAACAAGTGAATTAACTTAACGCTCTATACACCTATAAAACTTTTGCTTTGTTTTCTATTGTTAATTCATATACATTTTTGTTTTAAGAAATTGTTAAACATTTTCGTCTAGTACTGTACAGTTCCCACCGAGAGCTCAGCTCGTTCAAGCTTGTTCCAACTAGTGTGTATTCTTTCTATCTTCGCGCAGATTTCTTCATGGTCACAATTCAAACAAATTGGAATGGACTGTATAGTGGTTTGCTCAGGGAAAAAATTTTTTTAGTTTATAATTCATATCCAGGCCATACAATTTTATTTTCTTTCTATTCAAAAATGCGTAAGAATTGATAAAAAGGATTATTTATAGTGTTTTAATTATAAAGTTACTAAAATAATCAATAAACTAAAACAATATGTCAATAATAGGGGCCCTGTCAATAATAGGGGCTTTTACCTTGATATGAATTCGCTCCCGATACATTTTTTCTGTTTTCAACGTGCTGAACAATACTTTTCCAGTGCCTTTCTATTTCTGGAAGTACACTTTTCAATATTCATTTTTCTCACATCGCACCTCAAGCAACTTCAGTAGGATTGACTTCACAATGGTATAGTGGAAGTCTAAGCACCTTGTGACTGTGAATTTCAATTTTACAACACCACACAGGGTGGGGCCCTGTGCTTTTGCTGACCTTTTGCTTTTCAAATTGACTATTTTAACAGGTGTTGGTAAAGATCCAGTTGTGCTGAACGTACGTCCCACTAATAATGCGTTCTGTTCAAAATGAAAATTAACTGGTTCAACGGCCCCGACCAATCGGCCGATGTCGTCATCTATTCTGTCTCTTATAATGCTCTCGGTGTCACTTGGTAGTACCCAATCTAGCGGCTAGCGTCGTTATAGGATTTGACTTTACTATCTCTTGTTCACAAGTGCGCAATGTAGAAGGGCTCAAATTAAAATAAACCTTTTAAACCTTTGAGGATACTTCGTGAATAAATAATGAACGTTTCAACCTTATTATCACCATATTAATGGTTTAATAAGAAAATTGTAAAAATAACAAAACGAACGTGAACAAAAAGACAGCACATCACGGGAATATGGCGCGAGAGTACTACTACAGTATATATATTCGAAAAATCAATAATGGGTTGTCGAATCCTTCACCGTGGGGTCTACAGATGGCGGTTCCATACCAATTTTTCCTACACATACCCGCCCCCCCCCGTACTTCGCGGTGGGTCCCCCAGCAGAGTACAGCACTGATTTGATGGTAAGAGATTCTTTAAGGTCGCCCTCTTTTCTTCTTCGGTACTAACGGAGTCGGTACATTTTGAGGCGATTCATTATTTTTACCCTGGAATTCCGTCAGATCGGAAACATGATATCTACCGATTATATCATTAGGATTCGACAGTGAACCTGGGGTCTACAGATGGTAGTTCCATACCAATTCTTCCTACAACTTCAAGTTCTCGGCGAAAGTCCAATGATTATCTGCTATGTCAATTACCAATACGCAACTATGTAAGATTGCTTTCCCAATTCTAATTTCTACATCACATTCTCTATGGGTTTCGGAAGTCTCTCCAGTTACTACAATCAAGATCAATCTCTTAGTTAGGTTAGTGTTGCGGCTTCAATTAATAATTGTATATATGCATAATCAATTTTGTTAGGGTTGTAATTTTTGTAAATATTTATTTTTGTTCGTATTTTTAGATAGTCAACACTTTGTATTTTATTCTAGTTGTATTCAATTTTAATGTATTTATTTCTGTAGGTATAGATAAATATTAGTTTCTTAGAATAGGTAATGCAGCAATTTTAACGAAGAGGTCGGACCAGGTAGATCTCACAAAACCATTCATTAATGGAAAACCCAAGTCCGTCGCTACGTCATCACTTCGGAATGTACAGATAATACCTTAGGGGTACGTAGCGACGGCGAAGGGGTAATGTGCACGATAGGCGTTGCCTATTTTGTGCCAACGTTATTTAAACAACGCGAATTCAAATTTTTAGTATTCGAAAATCAATATTCAAGCTTAAACATTCAAATCAATTCACATTCAACAACAATTCAATTATCAACCAATATTCAATATACAATAAAATAGTAAGTGTACATAGTGTATTATATTGTACAAAATAAACCAAACAAACCAAAAAAGTGATTTATTCGTCAACAAAATCCGAAAGAATATATGGGGCAGTGAGCGAATACTGCAACCACCGAACAGTTAGGTTAGGGCGAATTCACGTTTTCGACACTATATGAAGTCGAACAATAGTATTGGCTGCCCCGTGTGGATAACCATTCTAAAACTGTGACGATTTTTGGATCCTGCTATAAACAACGAATTAATTCTATCCAGTTTTGATATTATTACCTCTTCGGGAACCTCACAACTCAACAACTAGCACGGAAGGCCATGTTCTTTTGGAGAGTGAGACGTTCAAATCTAAAGAACGTGCTGTAGGTTGGAGTCACTGACTCCATCGATAAACGTTTGTATTGTCAGTTAGTCTATGAACTCTCTTCTTATTGAACTTAAATTGTTGAAGAGTGGTGGGTGACCTACACATGACAATATTATACATTTTTGTAACAGAAAAGCAAAACAGGTATTTGCTACAAATAATGTGATATATGCTAGTTATAGGAATCAACAACAAAAATAACAATCAGAATATAAAAAATATAAAAGTTTTGACTACTATGCATATAACCGAATAGTTTTATAGGTACTTTTTTGTGATTAGAGGTGTCCCTTGTAAAACGCGATCGCGACAGCGCATCTAGCAGTATTTTGCATAACATAACTGGACGCTGTTGTACAAAACAGCTTGCAAGAAGCCCTGCTGCTTCAGTAGCAGAACGCTGTGTTATTACACTTTATGTACCGGTCGTCCAGGTTGTATTCGATTCCGATATAGATCTTTTTTGTTAACTTGTTAATTTATTTTTTCCAATTTATATTTTGACAGACACGCTGAAGATTTGAAATAGTTTGAACGAGATAAAATACGATTGAATTTGGAATTTTGTCACGATGTACTCAGATATAAGGAAAGAGCATATCTTTTATCATTTGTAATAAGTTGTGAATAGTTAGTTTCCAACAGATGTCCTCAAAAAGGGAAAAAGTACCTTTTGTATCAGGCGGAAATCGAACCATTGATACTTCTTGTAAAGTTCATCTATTCAGTTTTGATCCTGATAATTTTTCGATAGATAAATCTTAAGAGGATTCCTTGCTTTTCTGTGGATTTGATACGAAAGTAGATTTGTTGTTCGCAGCGTTGACAAAATTCTAAAGAATAAAACTGCTTTTGTGTATATAAGGTACAAGCTGTTTCTTCGACAGTGAAAAAGTAACAATTTCGTTTTACTGACAATTTCTACTATACAGCGTAAACGCTTAGTTTAGTTTGTATAACAAATAATTTATTAAATGAAAGTAAGTATAGTTCACACACATTCCTTAGATTAGCTAACGTACAACTCGACAAACGAATCTTGTGCCAGTTGACCACAATGGGAAGAGAGTGAATGCGAGTGTGTACAGCCAGAGGAACAAATAAACCTGATTTTGATATCGCCTGCGACATTGGTCATTTTTTACTGCACTTATTCTACGCAGGCTGTACACGATGATCACTACTCAACAACTTTTAGCTAGAATAGTTTCTATTTAATGGAGATCAAGCTACATGTTTTTCAGTTTCATATTCATATTCTACGATGACATAATATCAATGTTAATGTTACTGCTAAAATAATATATTTATGCATTTAGATTTTGCTGATGTTTTGTTCTGGTGAAANACAGCTATTATTTCTTCCGCGAAGCCCGAGAAATCGTCGTTAGTTAAATGCTTAATGAATAAGTAGACAATTTGAATTAACTATATAACCACAACAAATATTATTTTACTTTTATTCGCTAAACAATATTAAAACAAGAGCTTTAATAAAACTTTAATCACTTAATTCTTTAGATTTAGGAGCAATATAGAACACGTTTCCGTGCATTCGTTTGGAAATACAGCTATTATTTCTTCCGCGAAGCCCGAGAAATCGTCGTTAGTTAAATGCTTAATGAATAAGTAGACAATTTGAATTAACTATATAACCACAACAAATATTAAAAAATCGATTTCATCTGTCTTTGCATACCTATCATTGCTTGCGACCAAGTCTGAGACAATTATTAGTTATCACAATTAAGGAAGTGTTTTAAATATTGACAATCAGAACGCTTTATACATCTTCAATATTCACTTCTCAAGATCTAAAGTTACCGATATAGGTTCTTCATGTTCCTTACCATTTTTTTAACAGCTAGTGCAATTTTAGCAACTTTGGACAGACTTTGACCCGTCTATAGAACTCAACATAATATCCAGCACTCAAATATCTAGAGCTTTAATTCAGGCAGTTGACAACACTTCAGAATTATTTAATACTTGTTTCTGCCATGTTCAACAAGTTCTAAAAATTAATAAAGTAGATGTTTCAGCAAATTGTTGAAGACCTAGATGTAGAAAAATCCATTTCGAAATACGCATCACTTAAAAAAAATAATCTGGTCAGTTACTTAATCAAATCAACAACTACATGTATAACTTACGTAAATACATAAATTTTGGATTCAATAACTTCAAGTAGACAATTTGTTCATATTAGTAGAATGTTGCCACTTCGCTAATGACATATGGAAAAATAAAGACGTCATTCCTTGACACAATAGAAAGTATATTAAAAAATGGTATTTTGAAGGAACTTCAGTCTTCTTCAAAAAGAAAGTTGTTATTACAATTGTCGGTATACCTGAAAATGTTTGTTTTCAATAAAAACTACTCAAAACACCTTCCCTTCGACTATTTCATGCAATTTTATCATTATTTGATCATTTTAAGCCATTTGTAACAAGAATAAGTTACATTTTCGAAAAAACCGCGATTCGGAAGTTTTGCCGCTATTATTGTGAGTTTTGCCAAGAGAAAAACCAATCATGGAAAATCAGTCCCGAAAAACTGTACTATCACTTCGTACTATTAATAGTTATAATACAGAACTTGATATGAAACAGCCATCAGTATTTCGCAATTTTTCAAATTTTTGTATCATATAATATTTGTATGTCCACAACATGGATTGCATAATCATCTTGAAGGAATTTGTCGTAACAAATATTTAATGAAATAACCAACATTGACCATTTAATCACATTAAGTCATTTAGACGATCAAAAAAAAATTTTTCGTATGGAAGCGTTATGGCGAATAATGGATTACAGCTTTTAGAGATATGATGCTTACCTGAATATGTCGGATTAATGATTGGCGACGTGGTACCTATAATTAATAAGACTTGGAAGTGGAGAGGTAGAGAAATAAAATGTACAATAATGCATGACATTCCTGATGAAAAAACTGTAGGTAGTAAAATTGGAAAATTTTAGTAGTGAACATTACAAATTGTACTTGAGTATATTTAAAGAAAAATTAAAACGTAACAATTTCCTATTAGGTATTTACACTATGTAAGAGTTATTAGAACAATTGCGAATTGTGAATTTTGCAACAGAATGATAAAAAATCATGAAGAAATCTACTTTAATAATTTTCGAGAATTTGAAGATACATCTATATAATTAACGGAGATATGTTGATACTGTGCCAATCAATACAAGTGTATTGATACAAGTCAATAGCATTATGTACGCAAGAGAAATAGTAATTGTAGTCGAATGAAAGCAAGAGTTGCTACCATTTGGTGAAATTATAAAAATTTTAATTGTTATATGATAGCAGTAAAATAGAAATGTTTCTTTTAAAACACTATCGCAATTTTGCTGTTGGTCTAAGTAACATGCTGTTCATTTTTCACTAGGAATATTCTATAAAATATAAACTAAAAATAGAACATACTATGGAATATAATCTGTCTTTATAAATGACAGAGTCACGTGACCTCCGTGTGTATGCAACCAACAATACAAGGATATCCCTACATTATTTCTGACAAATTCTAGTAACGCCGTTTAAAAGTTGAGAAAAAGTTGCAACTAGTAGATATTTTATGAAATGCCAAACGAACTAAAATGTTTAGTAGTACCATATAAAATAGGAATAAGTTAAAATAAATGAGAGAGACATATTAGTAAGAATGAGTATTTTATTGTCTTTAATATATAGCCAAAACTTACAAGGAAGACACCGATTAATAAATGGCAGATAACAGTATTTTTAGTAACTAATTTGTAACCAGATTCATAGCGCTAATCTCAAATTAACAAATACACTATCGGTCACTAAAAATGAGGTCAGGTGACTCTCGATCATTTATGAAAGCGCTGCATATTGCTACAACAGTAAAACGGTCAACTTTGTGACGAGGCTGACTACTTTTCTTTGTTTTCAGTGACCATTAATTAGAATGCATTTGTAAAACTTCCAATAACATCGATGATAATATTCAGTTTTGACATTAGAACGCTAGTTCTAGATTTTACTTAATTACGTGAAGATAATAATAATGCTCAATATATACCGTAAACTTTCTCTTCTCTTTTTTTTAAATCAAACGAATTCAATTCATCATTAATTTTTTTTTATTTAGCATGTTTTAAAGTAATCGATGTACTATGAGTAAAGCTACAGTTTCCGGGGGAAACGGTAGCAGTGTAATGATGGAGCGGCCGTTGAAATTGAATGTGAGCGGCTCTTTGGTTGCGGTACACATTACCTCACAATAAGGCGGCCCGTCATTTTATTGACGGTCGTCATGGTGATAGTAGCATGTGTGTTTGTAGTCATTACAACAGTACCAGTTTGAATATTATTACCTTCATAAAGTTTAAATATAGTGAATGGGGATAAGTAATTATAATACCAATTGTACACCCCCGAATTATATTGCTGTGTATCTCACTACATTTCGTATTAGACAATTGATCATTGCAGGGCCTGTTTACATTCAACATCCCAAAAATGAAATTAGGCCGGACATTACCGTCACTATGTCATTTTATTTTCAGTGAAACAGTAAAAAAATACGCTGATTCTAAATTTCCTTATCCACAGTCTGATAAGTTGGGACAACTTTTCTTTTCTAATTTAATTAGTGAAAAAAATCGTTTTTTTAACTTTTGTGAATCTCCTCTTCCGTGCATTTTCCGCAAGATGTATCTTACTTATTTTCTATCTCCATTTAATTATCTTAAAAAATGGAAAAATGTGGAAGTCGCTAAGTGATTTTGTTTATTAATACATCGTAATCAAGCCAAAAAAATTAATTCTTTTTCACATTAAATATTTCGAGGAAAAAATACATAAAAGCATGAAATTTTCAGGAATTGTTGCTTATAACAATGTATGAATGTGTTTTAAATTTTAGTAAAATCGGTTACTAACTTTGCAAATATTAATCGACCGAATTTGATTTTTGTCATGCAATACGAAATACAAGATTCATTTTTAAATATTTTTTTTTTGCTGAAGCCATACCAGAAAATTTAAAAAACTATTTAACCTACTCCGTTGGAATTTTTGAAAAATATCGATTTGGACAGATTTTATAGTGATTCTCTTGACAACACCTTTGTTTACCTGACGTATAAAATCAATGTTATTAAATTACGATAAAAAATAAAAAATTATATGTTTTTTTACGACCGGTAACGAAGGTATTGTCAGAAATCGATATTTTTTAAAAATTCCAACGGGATATTAAATTTGAATAGCTTTCCGAATTTTGAGGTTTGGTTTCACTAGGAAAAAATATTAAAAAAATAAATGCCGTATTTTGTAAGTAAAGGAAAAATTCCATCGCTTATTATTCGTAAAGTTAATAACCGATCTTTTAAAAATTTGGAGCTCTTTCATGTAGTCTTTATAACCAACAATTCGGAAATTAATTTTTCTGATTTTGAACACGATTTCTTAATAAACAAAAGCACCTAGCGACTTCTAACCAGCACCACACTTTAGACGATTATATAACGAAATTCAGAGTCAACGTATTTCTTTACTATTTTACCAAAAATAAAATTACATCGTAATGAGATTATCTTGCTTCCTTGACTGAGCTAAAATTTGAGAATAAATAATAAACTATACAATATAACTAAACACTGTAAATTAAATTTATGAAACAAATAACAATGTATCTGACTCTAAAAATCTGGTGCATCGGCGAGATAATGAAACGACCTTTTTGCTGGTACCTACCAGATGTGAAATCCGCTGAAAAGTGTCTTACTTTAAATTTGTGATTTACGCTGTAGTATTGGTAACGCCATATAACGGCCGCTCTATTATGGCACCGCTATCCTAGGAAACCATAAGTTTACTCACTATTATTGAACCTACTCAAATGCCAACTCTCTGTCTAAATTTAAATTGGATATCAGCAGTTGCTCTCTAAATTAACTTAGGACAATACATTCAAGGTAAAGATCAATAATAAGTGTTTTATTTAAATGTTGCCTTAACAATAACTTTCAACAAGCCAACTCCATTTTATAAATATATATTCACGAAGTGTTCTTAAACTATTCGTGGTTGAATACAAGGGTTGCTTAGTGCAGTTTAACGTATGAACGTTTCTAAGTTTTCACGTTGTTATCGCAAGTTGAACTTATAACCTCATATTATAGTTCGCGAAATAATTATAATATTATTTTCTTTTATTTTTGGTGAATCTATCAACACCAATGTTAAAGAAGAAATGTCTATCCTCAAAAATTTTGCCCTTTTTGGTTTGTTCATTTTCTACCATTTCTGTAGAAGTAGGCTGTTCCCTTTCTGTTATTGCAGAAACAACAAATAATTTGTTTGACCTAGGATACTGAACTTGAGAACGAATAGATATCCTGGGATAGAAATGCTTTCTTTCCTTCCTAACTAATTGGTCAGGAGGGCCCCAATGGTACTGCGGTTTAAGTAGATGTATAAAAAAATTTTTCTTTTCAATATTAATGAGGTAGTACCAAATGCACGTAAACAGACCAAAACAGAAAATCGCCAAGTAAAATAATCCTGCATTAAATCTGACTCTTCGAATTTCCTTTTCATTGTTTTCAATAATGTCATTGTAAATACTCAAAAGATACCTGTTTAGCCACATTAGAATGTTACAAACAAACAAAAGTATAGGAATAAGAGCCCACATCATTCTCAGGAATTTAACTGGAGGCTCTCCCGTATAAAACAGTATATCATCAGTAAGTCGAGAAACCCCATATACATAGAATAATATGATGGCTTCTATATTAAGGCACAAACCAACTATATATTCAGTATACACCGCTTGAGTTACCGGAATCCATTCTCTTACTGATTCTAATCTGCCATAAAGACCCATTGAAGTAGCAGCCATTAATGTACAAGAGATAATCCAAACATAAAATCGAAAGTTCTGAAGTTTAGGAAAGAAGTCGAATAGACTTAGTATAATTCCGTAAGCACACATTGTCATCCCAATGATGTCGTTTAAAAATAATGACATGAAATACAGTATGAATAAAATAGAAGGAGAATCAATATACGAAAACAGTTCTGGTATCATTGCCTGATAAATACCTCTACCTGGCACAACAACACACTCCATACAGCACCCGATTGCTCTTGCAAGAGTGCCAGTGAGGCAATAAAAAAATAATGTCATGAAAATTCCGTACAGGGCAATAAAGAGTGTTATTATCATACAGTCCATTCCGACTCCTCTACCGCTTGTGCTGTAAGCCGCGAACGTCATATATCCAGAAGGTATAATAAGGCCCAAATTAATAACACAAAACCAGACACTAAGCCAAACGTCTGCAATATGTGTTATACTTGAATAATCAATTTCAAGTAAATGATAGATCCCATCTTCGTAACCTTCAAGAGTGAAGATAATTATAAAACTAACTACACAAATAGACAGCTGGCAAATAAAAGTGATGTTCAAAGAATATCCTAGTCCTCTGATACCTCTGAATGAAAGAAGCCAAACTACGAACCAAATGATTCCAATGACGATGAAGACTTTTATTTGAGGATAGTGTACGTGATCAGTAGCTCCGTAGGTGTTATAGTAAGCGTATTGGAAAGGATATGCAATAATTCCCAATTTTGTACAATTCATTCCCATGAAGGAACGAACACATTCATCATTAACTTTTCCTCTAATTTTGTAATCATAACACCAGCTGGTGTTTTTGTCATCACATTTGTCATACATGCTTTTGTCAGACATGAGATCAAGAAACTGAGCAATAAATCTTGAATACTCTGAAGACTGTTTCGCCTGATGGAAAACATTTATGGCTAACACTGATACGCAAAATCCGAGGAAGAAAGGTGACATCCGATACATCTGACTGCTTGATTTTTTTGTATATCTTCCAAGAAATATCTCCACGTATATTATTGGAATCCCAATGAGAATAGTAGTGAATATATAAATTATGAGAAAACCACCTCCAGAAATAAAGAGACTATGTGTAAAGAGGTACTGAATAAAGCTACTATCATTTGCCATCAGGACACTGAACAAAATATACTGATATCGTGTAGCAAAATAATCCTCTGTTCTCGGGATATATGTAGATCCATTACGAATTCGTTTGTGTTTTACTTGTTTTAGTTTAGTATCTGCGAGGAACACATCTTCGTTGTCGTCTGTCTTTTTTTTGTCGGTGTAGGAACGATTAACAATATTGAAATAGTCGGTACTCATAATCTATCCAAGGCACTATCCAAAAATGAAAACCAGAATAAGTGATAGCTTCCTTTTGTAAACGAGGACTTACGTATCTTTGTTATGTATTCGTTTGTTAATAATACCACGTGTTCTTGCCAATTCTGTAAATGGAATAGATAAATATCAGTCTGACCTTTTTCAATTGTTCTGCTACAGTTTGTATAACATAACAACTACGACAGTAGTTAAACGGCTATTTTTAAAAAAATGCTATAATTAAATTTTAACCAATAATTTATTTCTCGTTTAAATGAGTTGCTTCAAAGTGATAATTCATTAACTAAAACTGTACAAAACTAAAACTTGATTTTAATTATACACATCAGTGCAACCTGATAAATAACATCACTGAAGGGATTACTAACATTATTAATGTCCTTCGGAGTCAAGAAATTTCTGTAGCATACTACGGTCACTCAGAGGAATTACCTTTTAAGAAAATCTCTCTTTATACTTATAAGGTATTAGGTGCTTAGGTAATTAAAGAAGGGGTAACACTTCTGTGCCTTAACTTTTTCGGAAACTGAACTATCTTTCTTGGAAATGGCTATGGTGGCTCAATTATGAATAACACATGAAAAAATAGAGGGTCTTTTGTAAAATAAATGGTTTATAGGTGCATCTTACATAACACAAACAAGTTTAATCTACACCTACAGGTTTCATAGTCATGTCACTACATTGAACTGGAAAGAACGTTCCTTGGCTGTTTTGTAATATCGTATTAGCAGTATATACGAGGGTGGATTGATAAGTTTCCGGCCTGACCAAGAAAAACAAGGTTTTTAAAAATTTTTTTTTTTTATTTCTCAACATAATCTCCTCCAAGGCTGATACATTTCTCATAGCNTTAGAAAAAATTCACTACTGCAACCCAAATTTTAAAAAATTTCTACAAAAAAAAATGAATGCGAGTATCAAAACATTTACCAGCAATAGTCATATCTCTTCTTGTCCCAGTTTCGTTTCCAACAAAAAACTTTTACCAGTTATAGTTAGGCTAAAGTGACACCAAAATTGAGCTTTATAATTTGTACAGGACGTTTAGACAAAAAGTCCAAAGATTAAAAACTTCAAACACCTACCATATTTTATTTTATCATTGTATTCATCTTATTATCCTCTTTTGATAGATTTGGATATTTTCTATTGCTTTATTTGACAACTTTAGTTGTTTGACAATTGATAGCTACCGGAAATGTTAAAAATCAAACCTCGTCTTCAGTAAACAGTAAATTTATCTGTGTTTATGGAGAATGCAATGAAACTATAGAAAAGACATGAAGATTAGCAGTATATATAAGTAAACGTATTTATAATTTTTTTTTTTATTTTAAAACTAATAGTTACCTGTTATTACGTGTTTTAAATAGTGGAAAACAATATATAATTCATAAACTTCTTTTTCTAGTAAAAGTCCACCAAATTTATTATTTACAATGACATTAAATGACGGGATTATTTGTCAAGAACAGAAATGAAGTATGATTGATTATGATATAACTCAACTTTTTCAATAATTATCCATCCGTAAGTAAAACTATAAATAACTGTTCATCTGATCCTTCGTGACTTTCTCGCTTTATCAAAATTAGGAATCACTAACTTCCATAACCCGGTATTGATGAATGACTGTTTTGGATTATGATTTTAAACCAAGTCACGATATGTGTGTATGTTTCATTTTCGATTACACGGGATATTTTCAGGGCTCTCCTGATATTAGCAGTTATTCTAATTCGATACAAAGTGAGTACAACTTCCGTATGTACATGTTGATATGGAGCGTCATATATCTGGTGATGGGGGTAAATGAAAGGATCACTTTTGTGGGGTCTAGAGTACAAGCACCCAGGGATCAAAAGTTATGGTGAACCAAAGTTACCACATACTCCCATTACATTCAGTGGTAGGGTCTGTATTAGCGAATTTAATTTTTAAATAAGAAATCAGTTTTACTCATGCTTGCAAAAGGGTAAGTATTGTTAGTAACAACATGAAAATTATTATCTCTCAAAATACCAGTGGTCACAATTCCGACAGCTAAACTCTCGTCTAAAATTTATATTACTCTCCACTAATATTAGGCTCAATACAATGGCATCTTCGATCTCCCATAACTTTTGATCTCTGAGTTCCTGTACCCCAGACTACTACTAATGTGTCCTAAATCTTCCCCTACACCTACAATAAATTAGTAGGCGCCCCACTATCAATGAAGTACATATACGGAATGGCTGATTCCGAGTGTCTCACTATGATGGTATGGTGTATAAAGAGAGAAAAAGGGAGTTTAGAATGTTTTCATTCAGTTGGTGGGGCGGTGTCTCAAGCCATAATATTATGCAGGGCTATCCAACGTTTACTTTCTGAAGAGTGTAAGTATGGGTCTCCTAACACTATTTACAGTTTTCGTTAGCCCAAATTCTGTCTCTCTGTTTATCAACTTCGCCATTTTATATCTGACAGTTAGTAAATACCCACTTTCCGCAATTTTATGCCTCCATTTTGAACCGATAATAGGTAGAGACCTCCGGTTTACACCAAGAATTTACCGTTTTTATATTCTTTTCAACGATGTATCATAAGTGGGGGGGTTGCTATTTAATAAACAAAGGTTGATGGGGCTGGAACCTCTCCGTTACGAGACATCAAAATTTCGACTCTTGTGAAGAATAGTTTTTTTTTAATCAAGGCACGCTGTCAAACTTTCGTTGCCCTATAAACAGGCATTCAAAAGTTATTCAGCCGTTTCCAGACTTTTGGATTACTTTTTATAGTTTTACCAGTACTCGATTTTTCTTAAAAGAAAACACAAAAGCTTATTGTGTTAGATTAGGTTAGGTTATGTTTATTTAAAGTTAAAGTTGAGATAGATTATTTTGTCTTCTTTTGTAATATCAGAATTGTAACATTCACCCTCTGGGCTTCCTTTTCTTCGTCTCTCACCTTGAAATACATTTTTAATGTTGATCTTGAGTCTTCAAGAGGTGTATTTTTTTGCGAAAGCATGGTTACTTATTACTAAATTTTAATCTATAAATTATTATTAGATTGGTAGATACCATAAAAACTAAGCATCCTTGTGTATATTGTATTTGATCTTTGTTCCAGGGCCTTTCTTCGTATACTGTGTGTATGTTGTCCACGTCAAATAAGGCGTAAATATCAGGGTGGATTTCGTGCGAAATCTAATCAGGTATGTTCGTAAGTAATAATTACCATATTTTTCTCACATTGCTACGTGTTTTCTCAAAGATTAAAATAAACATACACTTCTCATATGGAATGATTAGCATAATAATATGTTCAATGACGCAAGGATTAACATGTAAGAGCGTTTTGCATATGACGTATTAAATGAAGTATACTTAAATATGGTAAAATCAAAACGACTCAAGAATTAACCGAAGATCATAAGAAGATGCAAAGAAGCTTGCATTACCTAATGAACTACGATTAAAGTCGCATAAAGACTGAGGCTATTTTGAATTTTTAGAAATGTCTATAACAAAAATTGTTTGACAGGTAGGAAGCTAGGTGGTAATTACGTTTACCGTGAGACAATCACACTAAGTAGTGTAGTAATTCGTTCAGGAAAGTACATTGTGCAAATAATTATTATTATTAAAATTTATTAGTTCTTCTAATTTTCCAGAAAAATAAATCTATAAATTAAAACCACCATCAATATTAATGGGAGTGGCGAATAGAGTATAACTTTTGTTATACCCTTAATTACAATAACACTTTTTTGAATAACAACCGCGTTTCGGTCTCTTGTATGTAGACGTTATTAACGCAAGGCTTCTCTTAAGGTTACATTTCTTTAGAAGCTAATGAGTTTATTCCTTCATTTGTAATGTTGCAGTAGATATTATCGAGGATGATCATTTTAACTAAAATAATTTAACTGTCGGCCACTTCCGGGTATACCGTAGGTTAGTGCCAATTTTAACGGAGATATGTTGATACTGTGCCAATCAATACAAGTGTATCAATACAAGTCAATAGCATTATGTACGCAAGAGAAATAGTAATTGTAGTCGAATGAAAGCAAGAGTTGCTACCATTTGGTGAAATTATAAAAATTTTAATTGTTATATGATAGCAGTAAAATAGAAATGTTTCTTTTAAAACACTATCGCAATTTTGCTGTTGGTCTAAGTAACATGCTGTTCATTTTTCACTAGGAATATTCTATAAAATATAAACTAAAAATAGAACATACTATGGAATATAATCTGTCTTTATAAATGACAGAGTCANCAGGACGTTCAGACAAAAAGTCCAAAGATTAAAAACTTCAAACACCTACCATATTTTATTTTATCATTGTATTCATCTTATTATCCTCTTTTGATAGATTTGGATATTTTCTATTGCTTTATTTGACAACTTTAGTTGTTTGACAATTGATAGCTACCGGAAATGTTAAAAATCAAACCTCGTCTTCAGTAAACAGTAAATTTATCTGTGTTTATGGAGAATGCAATGAAACTATAGAAAAGACATGAAGAAGATTTAATGAATGTATACTTATTTAGTTTTAGTAAGGGAAAGTTTGAAAGAATTAAGAGTAATTAAACGGAATTTGGCTCTTTAAGTAATGTTTTTTGTTGCAAACTCACGTGCTTCTTCACATCGATTACACATTACATTACATTCGACGGACTCAGGGATGGTGAGGACTCCAGTCAAGCACTATCACGCGCCTTGAAGTTTAAAGCTGCGAAACAAGCTTCCAAAGGCCCTGTAAGCGAGAAGCAGAAATCGATGACAGTATAATTACAAAATAAGGTGTCATGCAGCTCATCAGGAAATGTGTAATTGATGTTAAGAAAGTCAATGCTTTTTTAAGATTAGACGGTGCTAACTCATTATTTATAGAAGACTCTATAAACCAGCACAATGTTAAAATGGTTATCGACAGAGGGGTATCCAATACCATCGTTCAGTACCCCGAGACGAAAGCGTCATCACTTTCTGCAAATTTATTAGAACTAGTGAATTGGTCAACTAACCAACTCAATCACCAAGTCAAAAATTGAAAGAACTTCTAGGTCGCTTTCAACACGTCTTCGCCTTTCTGATCAAGACCTTAGTAGGAGCAATATAGCATACCACCACATCAACACTGAAACGGTAAGGGCCATCAAGCAACTACCTAGAGGAGTTCCTTGACCAAAGCTAGAGGAAGTCAATAACCTTATAAAAGGCATGCATGAAAAAGGGGTGACGAAACCATCTCAAGGTTCTTTGTGTGAACTACAGGAAGCTGTACGATCTGATGCAGGTCAGCTACCCAATACACCGAATCGATGACATACTAGACGGTCTAGCTGAAACTAAAGGTTCTCAGGAAACACAGACTGTTGCTCAAAAGCTTTTCATTGGTTGTATTAGTCGATATGGAGTGCCAATGGAATTGCATTCCGATCAAGGCAATCGAATCCCGTCATCGAAAGTATATCGAATCGGCTTTGTTCTCTAATAGGCATTACTAAAACGAATTCTACGCCCTTATATTCACAGTCTGATGGAATGGTTGTTCGATTTAACACTACTCTGGAGACCAACTTAAGAAGCATCATCAACAAGCATTTACACATACCACTATTCCTCCTCGCTTATACATCCGTCATCCATGGAAGAACTGGAAAAACACCAGAAACACTCGGGAAAGAACTGAGGTTGCTAGTGGACATGATGTTTGGTCGTCCTGGAGACTCCAATACCTTCAGATGAATACGGGGGCGAACTACAAAGACGACTAAAAGTTATCTGTAGTGCTGTGCATGCGAATCTGTGATTTGAAGATGATCGGATGAAGACCATATAATCCGCCAAGGCGTAAGGCACTTTCCCCGAAACTATGTTCTGGAGGATCAGGCAACCCAACGTACAAAGAAGACTTGGTTTCTAGAGGAGATATACTGGAACATTTTAGAACACGGTCAGCCTCTAAATATAGTTGTCGCGAGATCGAGTTACAGGGTGATACAAAGCGAAGAAAGAAAGAGCGAAAAAGTGACAAAGTATTCAAATAGTGGTGAACTGACAACTGATTAGTAAGAGAAGTGTTAATAATATAGCAAATAGTTAAATAAAATTGGTAATATTGCGAAAAGGCGTGTAACTAATTAAGTTAAAGATTTTCCAAAATAAAGAGATCTAATTGAGGTATGTACTATGTAAAAATTTAAACTTGACCAGCATATTTAAGTTTACAGGATGTTACAATCATCTTGTTTCGAAGATTCATATGCGTCAATAAAATTTTCTGGAAATTAATTTTTGTCTATTTGAGTTATAGTTTTCATTTCTGGAACTAGATCATCTTCGGACGTACCATCGAACTCTGTAATTCTTCGTTCACTTTTTCTGAAGATAGATCGCTTTCGTCTGAATTGACTCCGAAATTATTCATCTGTTCCTTCAGTTCTTTTTGCTGTTACTTTTTGTGATGCCTATATTTTTACTTTTCTCTTGTTCCTTCAATGTTGCAGTGTAACTGGCCGATGTAATCACTTCAATTCCTGGGAAAACTCTTCTTCTTCTTTTTGAATGACGTCTCGTCTTGTTACATTTATTAGCAGTTCTTCAATTCCTACAAAACGCCTTGAGATACTAGCAAGTTCACTGTTCGGCAAATGTTGGGCGGAGGAATTCCAATCATGTAATAACGATTTTCTTGGGAATTGTAGTCTTTTCCTTACCCATAGCATAAAGTATATCGTCATCCTGGGATACAGTAATAGATGCGATTGCATTATTTTGGTCCTGAGTTTGTCTTAATTCTGAAGTAGATCGAGAAGTTTAAAGAAATAATGTTTTCATTGTTTTCAAATATTTTTCATACCTGAAGTCTCATCAGGACCTTATTGCTGTTGATTTTCTCAATGTCTAAAGGCGCCAGTATCAAAAGATGTCTTTGAAGCAGTATTTCTATTCAGAAGAGAATTTGCAGCTGTTACAAAGTCGTTGATAATAATTTGCAGTAATATTTCCGTCCATATTTCCCTTATTAATTTTGAAAACGGTTGCTTGGAACGAAACAGAGCAATCTTTATATATATGTTCTTACGTTCTTACTGTTCATTGTTATTCATTCCAGTTTGCAGCAGCAGTAAGAATAATAAGATACAAATCATTAGAATGAAGTAATCGATTATTTAATAATAAAACACTAACTAACGGCAACTGTAAAAAAAAACCGTAACTGAAAGGCGAAATCCACCCCCTTTATAGAGTTCCAAGGTCACGGTCATTACGTCGGAAAAATAATTTCTTTACACCAGTGGGATTAATTCGTCAAGTTGAAACCTTATGGACCTTTTCGTCCTACTTAAATAAAGCAATTCGCTACAAGAAGCGTTAACTTCTCCATGTCGTTGTTTCATTAAAAGCACACAAACCTAAGTTTAATTTACAGATACCCATTATGGAAAATTTTAAGTCTGAATATTGACACTTCAACACTAAGATTATCGTGTACGAATCTAATTCTAATGAAGTGTTCAAGTTTTGACGTTACATGTAACTTAAGTATTACACATTCGTTGATGAGAAAGTATTGAAACTAATCTTCCTTTGGAACTAAACCGCTGTGAAACTATATATATACCGGGTGTCTCATGGTGACCACCCATTAGAATGTTTCGATAATTTGTTCGGCTCAAATTTTGAAAATTTGTACAATGGCGTTATTGGGTATGCTCCTCCTCAATTAAAATAACGGGTTATATGTACGAGGGTGGATTGATAAGTTTCCGGCCTGACCAAGAAAAACAAGGTTTTTAAAAATTTTTTTTTTTTATTTCTCAACATAATCTCCTCCAAGGCTGATACATTTCTCATAGCGGTGTTCCAGTCTATTAATGCCATCTCTATAGACTGATTCGTCAAGCTCCTCAAAATAACCATTTACAGCTTCGATTACTTCTTCATTGTCCGCAAATCTCTTACCGCCAAGCCATTTTTTGAGATTAGGGAACAGAAAATAGTCACTCGGGGCTAGGTCTGGAGAGTAAGGAGGGTGCGGCATCAATTCAAACTTTAGATCGTTGATTTTAGCCGTCGCAACGATTGACGTGTGCGCTGGTGCGTTATCGTGATGAAACAAGATTTTTTTCTTCGCCAGATGAGGTCGTTTAATTTTCACCTCGTGGCTCAAACGTTGCAATAAGTCTGCGTAGT